GAATGTGCCACACTGTCAGGGTCCTTTCTGAGACCATGACACACTTAACAATGTGGCACGCTGTCAGGGTCCTTTCTGAGACCATGACATACTGTAGAATGTGCCACACTGTCAGGGTCCTTTCTGAGCCCATGACACACTGTAGAATGTGCCACACTGGCAGGGTCCTTTCTGAGACCATGACACACTATGCAATGTGCCACACTGTCAGGGTCCTTTCTGACACCATGACACACTGTAGACTGTGCCACACTGTCAGGGACCATTCTGAGACCATGACACACTGTAGAATGTGCCACATTGTCAGGGTCCTTTCTGAGACCATGACACACATACTATTCAATGTGCCACACTGTCAGGGTCCTTTCTGAGCCCATGACACACTGTAGAATGTGCCACACTGTCAGGGGCCTTTCTGAGACCATGACACACTGTAGGATGTGCCACGCTATTAGGGTCCATTCTGAGACCATGAGACACTCGAATGTGCCGCACTGTCAGGGTCCGTTCTGAGACCATGACACACTTAACAATGTGGCACCCTGTCAGGGTCCTTTCTGAGACCATGACACACATACTATGCAATGTGCCACACTGTCTGGGTCCTTTCTGAGACCATGACACACTGTACAATGTGGCACGCTGTCAGGGGCCTTTCTGAGACCATGACACACATACTATGCAATGTGCCACACTGTCTGGGTCCTTTCTGAGACCATGACACACTGTACAATGTGGCACGCTGTCAGGGTCCTTTCTGAGACAATGACACACTGTAGAATGTCCCACACTGTCAGGGTCCTTTCTGAGACCATGACATACTGTAGAATGTGCCACACTGTCAGGGTCCTTTCTGAGCCCATGACACACTGTAGAATGTGCCACACTGGCAGGGTCCTTTCTGAGACCATGACACACTATGCAATGTGCCACACTGTCAGGGTCCTTTCTGAGACAATGACACACTGTAGAATGTCCCACACTGTCAGGGTCCTTTCTGAGACCATGCCACACTGAAGACTGTGCAACACTGTCAGGGTCCATTCTGAGGCCATGACACACTGTACAATGTGGCACGCTGTCAGGGTCCTTTCTGAGACCATGACATACTGTAGAATGTGCCACACTGTCAGGGTCCTTTCTGACACCATGACACACTGTAGACTGTGCCACACTGTCAGGGACCATTCTGAGACCATGACACACTGTAGAATGTGCCACATTGTCAGGGTCCTTTCTGAGACCATGACACTCTGTAGAATGTGCCACACTGTCAGGGTCCTTTCTGACACCATGACACACTGTAGACTGTGCCACACTGTCAGGGTCCATTCTGAGACCATGCACACTGTACAATGTGGCACGCTGTCAGGGGCCTTTCTGAGACCATGACACACATACTATGCAATGTGCCACACTGTCTGGGTCCTTTCTGAGACCATGACACACTGTGCAATGTGCCACACTGTCAGGGTCCTTTCTGACACCATGACACACTGTAGACTGTGCCACACTGTCAGGGTCCATTCTGAGACCATGCACACTGTACAATGTGGCACGCTGTCAGGGTCCTTTCTGAGACCATGCCACACTGAAGACTGTGCAACACTGTCAGGGTCCATTCTGAGGCCATGACACACTGTACAATGTGGCACGCTGTCAGGGTCCTTTCTGAGACCATGACACTCTGTAGAATGTGCCACACTGTCAGGGTCCTTTCTGAGCCCATGACACACTGTAGAATGTGCCACACTGGCAGGGTCCTTTCTGAGACCATGACACACTGTAGGATGTGCCACGCTATTAGGGTCCATTCTGAGACCATGAGACACTAGAATGTGCCGCACTGTCAGGGTCCTTTCTGAGACCATGACACAGTGTAGAATGTGCCACACTGTCAGGGTCCATTCTGAGACCATGCACACTGTACAATGGGGCACGCTGTCAGGGGCCTTTCTGAGACCATGACACACATACTATGCAATGTGCCACACTGTCAGGGTCCTTTCTGAGCCCATGACACACTGTAGAATGTGCCACACTGTCAGGGACCTTTCTGAGACCATGACACACTGTAGGATGTGCCACACTATTAAGGTCCATTCTGAGACCATGAGACACTAGAATGTGCCGCACTGTCAGGGTCCTTTCTGAGACCATGACATACTGTAGAATGTGCCACACTGTCAGGGTCCTTTCTGAGCCCATGACACACTGTAGAATGTGCCACACTGGCAGGGTCCTTTCTGAGACCATGACACACTATGCAATGTGCCACACTGTCAGGGTCCTTTCTGACACCATGACACACTGTAGACTGTGCCACACTGTCAGGGACCATTCTGAGACCATGACACACTGTAGAATGTGCCAAACTGTCAGGGTCCTTTCTGAGACCATGACACAGTGTAGGATGTGCCACACGATTAGGGTCCATTCTGAGACCATGAGACACTAGAATGTGCCGCACTGTCAGGGTCCTTTCTGAGACCATGACACTCTGTAGAATGTGCCACACTGTCAGGGTCCTTTCTGAGACAATGACACACTGTAGAATGTCCCACACTGTCAGGGTCCTTTCTGAGACCATGCCACACTGAAGACTGTGCAACACTGTCAGGGTCCATTCTGAGACCATGCACACTGTACAATGTGGCACGCTGTCAGGGTCCTTTCTGAGACCATGACATACTGTAGAATGTGCCACACTGTCAGGGTCCTTTCTGACACCATGACACACTGTAGACTGTGCCACACTGTCAGGGACCATTCTGAGACCATGACACACTGTAGAATGTGGCACACTGTCAGGGTCCTGGCTGAGACCATGACACACTTAACAATGTGGCACGCTGTCGGGGTCCTTTCTGAGACCATGACACACTGTGCAATGTGCCACACTGTCAGGGTCCTTTCTGAGACCATGACACACTGTAGGATGTGCCACACTATTAGGGTCCATTCTGAGACCATGAGACACTAGAATGTGCCGCACTGTCAGGGTCCTTTCTGAGACCATGACACACTGTACAATGTGACACGCTGTCAGGGTCCTTTCTGAGACATTGACACACTGTAGATTATGCCACAATGTCAGGGTCAAGTATTTAGTCTTGTTCTCAATAGTAGAATGACTGGTACAATGCTGGTAAAATGCTGGTACAGAAATGCTGGTACAATGCTGGTAAAATGCTGGTACAATGCTGGTAAAATGCTGGTACAATGCTGGTACTGTAATGCTGGTAAAATGCTGGTACAGTAATGCTGGTACAATGCTGGTACAGTAATGCTGGTATAATGCTGGTACAGTAATGCTGGTACAATGCTGGTAAATCAATTTTGGTACAGAAATGCTGGTACAATGCTGGTACAGAAATGCTGGTACAATGCTGGTACAGTAATGCTGGTACAATGCTAGTACAGTAATGCTGGTATAGTGCTATTAATGCTGGTACAATGTTGGTACAGTCATGCTGGTATAGTGCTAT